TGAACTTGTAAGGAACATTTATTTTTTGAGATTGAATGGGTTGAAATAATTGAAGCATCTTGGTTCTTCTATGGTTAATACTTGGGATTGTCTAGTGTTCTGGTTGAATTAATGTTTGAAAGCCTAACTCGGGTTCCTAATGGCTCATAGGTGTGCTAGGGCTCTCAGGATGTTAGTTTACGCTAGTGTTTTTTGAAATTAGGAAATCAAATAATATAGTGTAACAATTGTTCATTCCATTTTTGGGCCTATAAAAAACCCAAGAGATCAAGTTGAAATTAATTCCAAAAAGAATTTAGTTCAATTTTGATTGCAATTTGAACCATTTTTAGGATCCAAAAGCTCAAGAAAGCCTCAAAAATCTTCTAAAAGGTTGTTGGGTGGGGGGGAGGGGAGGGCGCATGGCCCCGGAATCCCCTGCTTGTGCCCACCCATGTGGCAATGCTACCATGCACTATGGCTCTAGAGGACAAAAGTGAAATATTGGAAGTTGCTCACAATTTGGCTCATATCTTTCAAACTGTAAATCCAGTTGCTCACAATTCGGCTCATATGTTTCAAACTGTAAATCCGAATGGAGTGATTCTTAGATCGTTTGAAAGCTTGTGAGATCCTCTATGATTTAGAGAGAAATTTAGCCTAATTTGATTGGCTTTGAAAGGGTTAAAAGATTTTAACTCTAAAAGGTTGATTTCATGGTTTTTGAGATGTGAGGTACGTAGGTTAAGACCCTAGAGTTGTAAGGCCAAACTAGGTTTAGGGTGAATAAGAAAACATAATTCCTAGGTTTAAGTTCTAGGATTAAGTTATTGAAAACCTAGAAATCTAGTCAGCGAAAATGGAGTGTCTACAGCTTAGGGCAAAAACATCCACTCAGAGGGAAGAAGGGTCAAAGCCTAAGCTTCACCAAGGGTGCAAATGGATCGGGCAACCTCGGCAATACATTGGATGGGTTTGAGCCCTTCATAGAGCCTGGATTTAAGGACTATATGCTTAACGTGCAGGGCTCGACACTTAGTACAAGAGGCCCTTGTTACATGCCTTTTTGGTTTAGTAAGGGAGCAAATGGGCTTGGCCAGCCCAACGGCCCTCAAAGGACCTGCCCGACATGGGTCAGTTGGGTCTTTATAGGGCCTGTCAGGTTGGGCCAGTCCTGGATTTAAAGCTCATTATCTTAACTGGCTAGGATACAAACTACCAACCCAAGCCTGCATGCAACCCTAGGATTCACAAAAAAGGGTCTGTATAGGGCCTTATGGTGATGGATCCCATGGGTTCGGTCTTCAGCCTAACCTAAACTCACCATGAGTACGCAGTGGGTTCAACTGAGACCAAGAATGATAATGAGGGCCATATCTCTAGTTTAGCTAAAAAAGATGGCTGGTTTATGCTTAATGATGATGAGAAGACGAGTAAAAGGAGATTCCATGGGTTGGAGATGGTGCTTTTGGGAACCAGAATATGAGATTTTACAGACATAAAAAAGTGAGGGGGGGAGGGGGGAGAGAGGGAGTGTGTGTGTTAGAGAGACAGAGAGTATGTGCACTTGGCCATGCATACTTAGATGTGGTTTTTTCTTTCAAATGGGTTCTTTGGGTGCCTCCATGGTTCATGGCATGGCCTTCTATGGATCTTTTTCAGTTAGAAAAAAGATCGTTGCTTATAATCTTTAGTCTTGAGTTATACAAGATGGTTTTGTGAAAGATTTTTATTTATTTAGAAAATGATTGAGTGTATAATCTTTGGTGCTTGTTTTCATGGGGTTGCAGATCCTCTCTCTCCTATTACATCTTGGGACTCTTGTTTTTACACGTAAAGGTTGCTGTGTTTCTCTAGATTTGTTTCCTGGGAATATTGGTTGTCTTTTTTCATGTAAACTCTGCTTTATTTCTCAAGATTTGGTTCTTTCTTTTTTTTCATTTTTAAATATCTTATAACGTTGCTTTATTTTTTCGTGGTTTGACTTCTTTGATCTGGATCCGTTTCTGCACGGACCTATTTCTGTGCTCGCGCTTTTCTGATCATGTTCTTTGTTTTATCTTATTTCTTAGATAGTTGCTCTCTCTGTCCCTCTCTTTAGGAAGGAATAAACTACAAATGGCAGCAGTAGCAGGCACCAATTTTAGGACAGGATAGCAATTCCATAGATATAGGAATAGAGTTCAAAATTCGCCTAAAGTCTGTAAATTTTTAAGATACCTATCATATGTTTTCTCCAAAGCTAAGGTTCCTTTTTATTCTTGCCACATATGCCGGCGCGCTCGCTAATCGTAGCTTACACACACTATTATTACGTGTGTAGCACCTGTATATGTAATTAGAGACAAAAGAATAACACACACACACACTAGTAAATATACATGCGTTGGCCATGTAAATGTAATTAGAGATAAAAGAATAGCAAATATTCAACGAGAAAAAGAAATCAATAATACAATTTTAATATGCTTATCTTATGTTAGGTGGAACTTAAAATGTTATAAATTTATATCCCAAAAAATTATACGAAATAATTGTAGTGAGCATTAGAAATTTTGTTGTGTAAAAGTTTAGAAAATGATCGTAAATTATTTTTGAATATGAAAATTAATATA